TATTTATTTGCTAAAAAAACATTAAGTCCTTGCCACACACATGTGGTTTTATGAAAATTTTCAGCCCAGGAGAACCAGTGCAAATGGGATTCAGCTGACTATGGTGGCAATTTGTTTGTAAATAAATTTTCCATGTACCCACTTGCTCTTCTATGAGTGGGAATACCTTTCTTTTTCCATTCACTGCTCTCACCAGCCATCTTACTCATCTCTTGTCTGAACACTCTGTACAGCCCTTTCTGCCCCCTCACTGTAAAGCTCTCTTTGGGCTTCTCTCTGCTCTTTGCCAGGTCTTTCCCAGCCTCTTCCCTCCACTATGTCCTGCGGGGTGCTTGAGGGGCAGGGGATGCTGTTGGCTTTGGTGCTGGCACCAGGAGCTGTTTGCAGGGACACTCCAGGCACTGCTCAGAATTTATGGGGAATGCAGAGTCAAACAATACCCGTGATTAGTTGAAATCGATATTTCTAGAACTGCATTTCTTTGCTTTATCAACAGAAGGGTTCATCTGTTGTGCATTTGCTTGGTCTCTTTAGCTAACCTGAAGATTTGGGGAGGGCGGTGTGTGCTGCCCGCTCCGTGCTCAGCTCTCACCACGTCCTTCTCAGCGCTGGCATGCGCTGTACGTGCAAGAGATGGACGTGGTGAATGGTGGGGATAGAGTGAGAACAGGCTCTTCTTTCCTGTCCTCCTGGTTGACTTCCCAGAGTTACGAAAGCTGCCGGCACGCCATGCCATGCCCCGCCATCCCTCAGCCCACTGGCTGATCTCAGCCTCCGTCTCGGCGTGCACATGAATTTCCACTCTTTGTACTAAACCCTGCCAAAGCAAAATTCCTGAAGCAGAATAAAAAACGTGGAAGACTTTCAAACCCAGAGATTGTTGAACTGTCCCTCTTACCAAATGGCAGTCAATACTATGTTCTTTATAAATTCTCTAGTATAATGTTTAATTCAGTAACTACAACTAGAAAGTCCTTCCAATTATTTTAAACTGCCAGAGATATTTTAATGTGCCTCAGATTTTGTGCTGGCATGCCACAGAGTTAAGTGCCATCCATCTTTCAGAGAGCTTTAAAATTTAGCCTTGTATAAAAAGAAGAAAAATGGGAAAGGATCCCATAGAACGTACTTGTCCCATGAATCCCACTGCCATTTGTGGCCTCACAGACACCTTCTGCATTTTGAAATTGTTTGTCTCCCTCTGTGCAGGGTGAGAGATCCATGCATACAGCCAAAATCTTTAATTCCTGTGAAGAGCTTCAGTTGAGAGCAGGATTGCGAGCAGATCTTCACTGGCGGCCACCCAGCCGTGCATCGTCGGGCGGTATTCACTCTCCAGATGCGTTCAAGCCTCTGAAACCAAGGATGTAAAAGGTTGAGAAAGTCCAAATATCTTCTGATTTCTTTTTTGTACCAGGGCCATGGGGCCTCTGTCTCTGCCTACTGGCTCCTCTTAGTCCCAAACCCACCGAGGCAAGCACCCGTCCCTGCTGGAACCTGCCAGCAGGCACTGCTGCTGGGTGCGAGGGAGCACAGCACGTAGCTTTGCTGCCTTGGTTAGCATCGCTCCAACTTCGTGAGCTTTCGTAAGTGGCAGAAGCTGACTCTCAGCATCCTTGCACTTTTTTTTAGTCTCTTTTTTTCCCTTGACATTTTTTTTTTTTGTTGTTTGCTTTATTCCTTTTCCGTGAGGTCAGTGGCACATGAGTGCTGAGCGTGTGCGTCTCTGCACCGGGCAGAGGGGGAGAAGGGGCAGGGAGAATGTCTTATAAATCTAGTTCTGCTCTATTAAGATTCATTCTGGTATGACAATGGCTTTTTCTATTTAAATGCTTTATGAAAGCCTCGCCTAATGATCTGTTAGCTGGGGAAAGGTTAAATTCCTGCAAGATTTTCTGTGTTTGATGAAGAACAGTGCAATTATCCAGAATTCAAAGTGAGTTTTAGCCAGCTGTTAATAATACTGTGATTCTTCATGTTCTCATTACTCAGAAGTAATGTGGCCATCCCTAGTCATGGCAGTAAAATATTTATAGCATTCTCTTTTGGCCCTGTTTGTACTTATGGAAGGCTGGACATCACTTGAAGTCTTCTAAATATGCTTCTTTTTGTGCTTTATCCACCCATGACAGTACTCTTCTTATCTAACTGCAGCTGTCTGCAATGGAGACATCCAATTTAAGGGGGTCATCTCAGGATGGGTCAGATGTGCCCTTTAACCACTAACAGTTGGGCATCTTGTTCAAACTGGTCGTCAAGTCACTGGAGAGACTGGTGCTTCCAGGTTCACACTATCTCAAGACAGCTGCCAAGGATGAAGGAGAGAAGTGGACTTGATACCTGATACTTTTGATACCGAGAGTGCCCGTATTAACAATCTGGTTTGGTGCAGAGATAGGTTTATTAGGAAACATGCAGGAGCAGCCCGCAGACATCTGTGTGTTTCTCCTAGCTCTCTCCCCTAATCACTGAGGTTTCCAGCTTGGAAAGTCGTGGCAGAACATGAAATACACGTGGCATCTTTGTGTCCAGGCACACAGAAACAAAATAAGTGTCATGGGGAAAATATAATTTCACAGTGGCAGGCCCTGCACTGGGATAAACAGACGTCTTGTTTCCTCCGGTGGATGCATGGAAAATCAATTCCCAGTCCTCTGCAGAGGCTCCTAAACATGAACCAAATTCCCTCCTGTAGTATTTAAGAACTACAGCTGTTTTGCACCAGCAAAAACGTTTCATTTCTAGCAGGGAAACTGAAGGTAACACCTTTTTGCTATCTTCATGTTGTCATTTAGGTATCTATCTTACCCTCTTTATAGGAGTCTCATTTCAAGTGCAGCTTTTTGCCTGGAGGTCTGAAGTAAATGAGTATTAAGTAACTGTATCTGCCTCTAATTCACTAAACATCCAGAAAAACAGCTAATGTGCCTGAACTGGTGGAATGAATACATTGGATTAATCTAATTCAGCTACTTTTCACTCAAACAACCAGTAGCATGTAAAAAAAAAGAAAAAAAAAAAAAGTTTGTGAAAGGGATTAGGAATTTCTTTTCCACATTTTTCCTTTCTTCTCCTTTCCATGACTTTGCTGCATTACATTAAATGTTAGCTATTCAGTTAGCTTATTTCCTTGACCCTCCTTAAAACAGTGCTTTTAAAATAAGTTTATTCTTCTCAGACTTCAGAGCTGGCTCCGTATTCACCGAGGCTTTCAGGGACCAGGAAAGGCAACAGAATAAACACAAACATACAGGCTGTGAGCAGCTTATCCTGACTGGAGCAAGTAGCTCCCAGCTGTCACCATCTCACTTGCATCTTGGTTGGGGAGTGTGGGTACGGGGAGTTTCAGAGGATCACCCCTGGGCTTAGAGCAATTCCCTGAGCGTGTGGTCACCTCTTCTCCATTCCCTTCAGCTCCCTTGGCCATGGTGGTGCATGCTATCACCTTAATGCCATGGCAGGTCTGATGTATGTATCCTCTGCTCCTTTATTGGAAATGTGTAAAAAGACCCAGAGCAGGCTGCCTAGACCTTCAGTTTAACAGCAAATTACTGGTAGCTACTCTTGGTGTGTGTATTTCTCACTGCAGTTCAGTCTATATCAGGTTTACCTCACTTTCTGGAGAGAACAGCATGTGCAATCATGTCAAAAGCCTTAAAAACCATCAAGGTATAAAACCTAAATGGCTTCTTTGCTGCCCGCTAGCCCAGCTCTCCTGTCAGTAGATTGCTTCAGTGTGATTTGTTCTTGCCACATTCCTGTGGCTGTTGATCATCATCTTATATTTTGTAAGTGCTGACAAGCAGCTTGATTATTTGTCAAAGTATTTTTCTGGGACCTGAAGCTGGTCTGCCTACTCTGTAATTCCCCAGTGCCTCCTTCCCCTCTTCTGAAAGTGGAGACCTCGGTCTGCCCACTCAGCCCCCTGGAACCTCCCCATCCCCAGTGGCTCCTCACAGTTAAGTGGTTGCATCTCCAAGGCCACTTCAGGAAGCTCGCCGAGTGTCCTGGGATGCAGTTCAACAGGCAGGGATGATTGAAAACACCACAGTTATCTAATTACTCTCTAACCAAATCTCCTGTCACTGTCAAGTGAGTTCATATCCTGCTACCACTGGCATTAGCTTTGTCAGGCATTTGATTGCTTTTGAGTTTTTGGGGAAGACTGAAGCAAAAAAAAACCAAAAGGCATTCAGCGCTTTGGCTCTCCCAGAAGCGCTTAATGTCACTCCGCCCTGGTCAGCTCCTTCTTCTCTCCTGCTGCTGCTGGCTGGTGCCCTGCTGCTCATCAAGGCCACTGTACAGCAGTGGAGATGCCAGCCGGGGAGCTTTGGGGCCAGCAGGTAGTACACGAATCCCACAAAGACCCCAGCAGCAGGGCTTGGCCAGGCTGTCACCAGGCAGGGACCCCTCCTCTATCCCCGAGCTCGAGGGGTGGCACAAGGCGCCTCTCCTTGCGTGCAGAGCAGAGGCTAGCCAGGTGTGCGCGCCTTAGAGTCCCTACTTGATTGTTGCTGGGGCTTGGTCACTGCACAGGGGGCTGTGGGAGCAGAGCAGGCTGCGGTGGATGCAGGGGAGGTGGCTGTGAACTGGCAGCCCTGAGGTGGTGATTTCCTCCTCTGCTCCCCAGGCACTGCAGGGATCTGCTCTGAAAGAGGTGCAAGACAGGATAAGCACAAGAAAGGCTGAACTTTCCTTGCCAAGAGCAGATGAAAAGAGACGTTATAAAGTCACTTGTCTCTGGTAACATGGCCCCTAGCTCTTGACACGGTGGTGGAGGGCATCCAAGTTTCATGCTGCAAGGAGATGAGCCCACACCTGGAATCCTATCTTGGTTTCAAAGGTCAGGTGCATTTCTTCAGTTACAGATGTCGTGGGGGTGGCATTTGACCCTGGCTCATCCTACACAGAAGGCAAGGTCTGATGGACAGCAGGATCATTTGAACCTCCCTGGAACTAGCTTTCATTTGAATTACAAACTGTTTTTTGTTTCTTCCCAGCCAGGTCTCTAGACAAACTCTATAACTTTGCCGACTGCTCTGGCCTTCACCTGATCTTTGCACTGAATGCTTTGCGCCGAAATCCCAACAACTCCTGGAACAGCTCCAATGCTCTCAGCCTGCTGAAGTACAGTGCCAGCAAGAAGTACAACATCTCCTGGGAGCTGGGCAATGGTGAGTGTGGGAACAGGAGAGCCACGGGAATGGAGCTCGCTGTAGCAGAAAGGTATTCCCTTTTGGAAGACAGTATTTGCAGACCTCAGGATGCTTTGCCAGTGTAGTTTCAGAGGGATTTAAAGGCCCCTACTATAAGGCAACACCATCTCTAAGACAGATCTGGCATGTGTTAGCCCCTTAGCTGGACGTTTCCATCAGTTGCTGTTAAGCACATGAAATGTTTCTGTTCTGACTTCTGGGCACAGCTGGTCCTGGGGTGTCCAGAGCAGCAGCTGTATGGATTTGTAGGGTGGCTGCAGTTCCAGGGGAAGTGAGAAACCCTATGAGGACAGGAGCCTGACACAAAGGTGCAGGTCCTTCACCCAGCTCACAACAAAAGGGGCACAGGAGGAGATTGCTGGCACAGGAGAGCAAGCAATGGCCCTCATCCACTCCTCAGAGGCTCCTTCTGCTGCTCCACAGAGCAGGCAGGCAGCTCTCCGGAGCTCAAGCTGTGCGACAGCATGAGCTGTGTGTCTCTCTCCGGAAGCACAGATGAAGGAGCAGAGCTGGCAAGCCTTGCTTGTCTATTTTTATTTTCCCAGAGCCCAATAACTATCGGACCCTGATTGGCCGCTCGGTGAACGGCAGCCAGCTGGGGAAGGACTACATCCAGCTGAGAAGCCTGCTGCAGCTTATCCGCACTTATTCCAGAGCAAACCTCTATGGGCCGAACATTGGGAGGCCCAGAAAGAACGTCATCAGTCTCCTAGAAGGGTAAGTGATGTTGCTTTGATCAAGAAGAGATCGGAAACCCCTCCTGAGACTGATGCCCTTTACAGCAGGTAGACATGCTCTTTGGCTTCCCAATGTCCAACAGCTGCCAGAACAGTGAGGATTTGTGTGGCTTAGCCATCGCAGTACCAGGGGCTTGGGGACACGGTTGTCTGTTCAGTTAAACTTCTGCAGAGGTCCCTGGTGGGATCTGGGGCTGGGCTGATTAACACTCTCTCAGGTAGTCCCAGCATTTCCCAATTATAGGCAGACTGAGGTGCCCACCTTGTTGGGATGTGGAGGTAGTGCAGTGGTGTAGATGCAGGCTCCAGCATGCCTGTGGGCTGCAGGGCCAAGTACCCCTTACCAGCGTAGGTGTTGTCAGAGTCCTTCTGGACAAATTGCTTTGCTCTTCCCATTTGGTGACTTCTCCCTGTGCTTTCTCCATCTGTGCAGAAGAAGAACCTGTAGCAACTTTCTTCACCGGCCAAGCCCTCTGCTCCCTCCTATAATTGGCATGTCTCTAGTTTGGGGACGCCAGAGGTGGAGAAGGAATGGTGACAGTGAGGGACGCAGACACCTGGAGGTGACATTGGACAGCTACAGGAACCAGGGAGGTGTGGGAGCCTGCTGGCAGCAGGAATTGGGACTGTGCGGCTTGAAGACCGTGCAGTGGAGGGGAAATTCCCTGCAGGACAGTAAACAGAAACTCCAGTGCAGAGGGCTGGGCAGGGGGAGGTGTGGAAGGGACTCTGCTGGGAGCAAAGCTGGGTCTAGCATTCATTAACATCTGCATGAATGATCTGGCAGAAACAATAAACAGCACACTGATGCAGTCCCTGGCGAGGCAGGGAGGGAGCCAGGGCCAGATTCTCAGCTCTGCTGCAGCAGCACAAAGAGACCATAAAGTTGGTTGAACCATCTGCGACGCCAGCATCCCTCCTACTGACAGAAGCGGGGGAGCAGCCCCTGCGCCCGCACCACAGCCTGCTGCCAATGCCCCGCGAGCGCGTCGCCAGCCAGAGCCCCCGCATTTGGTACAGCGCGGTGAAAGCGGCGCAGGGGGAGTTACAAAATGTTGTAGTAGCCTTGATCAGCAGGAAATCTATTAGCGCCGGGAGGAGCGGGCTGAGTAAGGAAAACAACAGGGATGAGAGCCAAGAAGCATTTAGAGAAAGGGAAGTCCTACTGCTGCATTTGCCCTTCGTGCGCCGCAGCCGGGTCCCAGGGAAGAGGGGTCGGAAGAGCTGAGTTGCACGGTCAGGGTGGTCTGGAGGCTCTGCGTTGCTGGAGCTGTGCTTTGACTGACAGCAACCCCGGGAGTGAGGCTGTAACGTACAATGTGATGGAGAGGATGGCAGAAACGCCATCTCAAATGAAAGGGAAGGTAGGTACCAGCTAGGGTTTGAACAACCCCGGTGACGGGATGGTGAGGGCTCTCCAGACCCCCGCCACTGGTCTGAAAAAGCTGTAATGAACATGCTTGTTGTCCAAGCTATATGCTGTTTCTCTGCTGCCATCCCTGCCTGCCAGGGTGATGCTGGTCCACAGGCGCTCAAAGCGATCTCACTTTCCCATGGAGAAACCTTGTGCCCTGCACTCCAAACCCTGCTGTGTGCAGCTCATGGTGAGTGGCACATGCCTGCGTGACCTTACAGCCCATGGGGTCCTGTGAGAAAAGAGCTGCTTGTCTTTCCACATAAAGACCCCATTATTACCAGGCAGGGCGTAAAGATGAGGAACAAGTCTGATTACACAAAGACAAAGGGCTAAATGCTCTTTTGCAGTATTTGGAAATGGAGTTGCAAAAGGACAAATAAATAAACCCCAGTGCCTAAGCTGCTTGACAGTGTGAACTTTATTCCCAGCAGCTCCTTAACATCTCCTCAGTACCCGGCTAGCACCACTGAGAGCTCTGCCTTCTGCAGAGGCATCACAGAATGGGTCAGTGGGATGAGGCTCAGCATTTGTCTGGGGCTGTCATGACCAGGACATGCCTCTCAGGATCCTCAATGAGGCTCACAGAGTCAGCAAGCAGGAGAGGGGAGAAGGAATTTAGGAAGGTGTTCTCAATGGCAAGCCTGTTGTTTGCCTTGCTAGACCACCATGCATGTTCTACATAGTGCTCACAGCAGGTTAAAGAGCAAAAAAGGTGTGTGCAGTTAATAGTCTTGATGCAAAATCTTCAAAGTTTTTCTCTTATTTAAAAAAAAAAAAAAAACAAAACATGATGAACAGCAGAAGTCAACCAAGTAGGAAGATATATGCCAAGTGGAAGATTATGACTCAAGTGTTAAGTAGGGCTGGAGGGGAGAGATGAGACATCCCAGAGCAGCAGACGGGATGGGTGGATTAGTCTGCCAGGCGAGCAGTGCCTTGCTACACAAAGTGAGGAAGCAGGTTTCAATGTGGGAAATAACAGAAATGAGCTGAAATGGGAAAGGAGAGCTCAGAGAAGAATCTCTGACAGTAGAAGCTGGCATTAGATGTTCTCCAGGGAAAGCCTCTAGAGTTACCTGAGGTCCTGAAACACTCAAAGAAAAGTCTCATTGTGAAGTATTGCCTAAAATTACATTTTCCTGTTGCATGCTTTGTGTTCCAAACATTGTAGTCTATTGTTTAACGGTTATCTCAAGCAACAAAGCTAAACTTACTCTTTATGTTTAAACACTGTCCTGCGATAATGTCAGCGTCATCATGAATTGGGCATTGCTCTTTGCTGTGCACCAGGCTCTGTCTGTCTTGATGGTGGGAGATGGACACCTCCAGGGCCATTCTAACCCAATCCCAGGGCGTGTCCTCCTGGACAGGGTGGGACTGAACCCCTCCTGGCATGCCACCTTTCTCTGGAGTCTGCTAGACTGGCTAGATGATGAGTGCAGATCAGGTATCTGAAGGTTTGCAGCATGTAGGGGTGTGTGCACGCTGTCCCGCTGCAAAGGTTGTCATTAGGCAAGTGACACTGAGCTGTGCTGGGTGAAACCTATCCGCTTTCTGATGATGGAGGTAGGATATGGTGAGGGGAGTAGAGCCCTGCCCGAAACACAGCAGCATGGGCTTTGCACGCCTTTCACTGCAGAGTTACTGCTCCTGAGCTCTTGCACCAACCACCCTGCAAGGTGCAATGGCTCAGAGCAGCCACAGAGCCCATCAGTGTCGCTCTGGGCTGGCAAGTCCTGGAGGCTGGACCAGGACCACTACTGCTGATGTAAGGACGGGCTCTGCAGTGATGGAGCATTGCTCCAGTGGCTGGGGCCTGCTGTGCAGGAGGCTAGCAGTGGTGTCTTGTGAATGCACAGGTGCAAGAGGGAATTTCTCCAGACACAACCAACAGTTGTGTTTGATGAGGTGTTAATTAGACCATTCATGCAGCCTGAGCTGTTGGAGAGCAGACCACGTTAGCTACCTACTGTGTCTGCGGGTACAGGAATCCCAGAACTGCTCAGAATTTGCTTGGAGAAAAAATAGTGAGATTCTAAGGAATTAACATAGATTTTAACAGCAGATCAGAAATCAGACACAAAGGTTAATGCATGACTGAATCATACATTCAGTGCTGGAAGAGAAGAAACAGGAGGGAAAGCTATTAGGAAGAAGAGATGAAAACGTGTTAAAGCTCAGGACATTTGGTACAAAACATAGGCTGGCACATGTGAGCAGATTTGGCTAAGGGCTCTCATGGCCTGTTGTTCCTCAGCTGGTGTAGTCTAGTTTTTGCCACTGGACACTCACAAGTGTTGGGGCGCTACTTCCACAACGGTGGGGTCTGTAGTGTCAGGAGGATAAGGGCTGTCAGGCACTTGTGTCCACACTAGGCTGGCTGTTGTTGATGCTCTGTGACCACTTTGGGTCCTGAGCCTGCTGAAGTCACCAGAGGAGTGAAAATCTTCCTTGTCTGAAGCTACAGCCTTTCCCTACTTCCTCATCCCCCAACTCTCAGAGCCACCAGACCTGCTGCCTCCTTGGCTTTCTGTCTGACCTCTTTCCAATCTCCTTGGCCCCTTCTTGCTGCTGCTGTCACCACTGCACATCCAGCCTCTGGTCACAGAGCCTCAGCACCTCTGGCCAGGTGGCAGCAGCAGGCGAGGAAGCTCTCACAAGTCAGTTCTCACGTCACAAGGCACAAGAGTTTCTCATCCTTCATTTTACTGTCTCCTACTTCTGGTTTCTAGCACCTGTGGAGAGTTAACCACCTGCCTGGGTCACTTTGGCTCCTTTTGGTGATGATGTCATTCCACAATGCTCTGAAAGGAGCCCATAAAAGGTGAGGAAGCATGCTTGTCAGTGGTAATTAAGCCCTTCCTCTCTGTCAGCTGTGGACATGGCAGGGTCAGGAGGGGGCATGGAGATGATGTCCTGATCATCTGTGGGCAGCCCAGGTAGAAGAGGTCAGTTTAAAACCTGTTCCAGTCCTCAGTCCTGCTCCCTGCATCCACAAATCAACCCCAAACCCAGATTCCTGTGTTGGCCCTTATGTGGTAGGGAGAGATGTTAGCTTACAGCTCATGAAATGGCACAGGCTGTATATGTGGGGTCCAACACAACCAGAGGCCAAACCAAAATCAAGGTGCTAAAAATGGGAGCGTCTTTGGTAGTATTTTTATGATGACTGCCCATGCCTTGTGGCCATGCCATCAGTCAGTCCAGGTATTGGTTTTTATCCATGACTTGTTCTGGAGTAGCAGCCAAAGAGCGTATGGGCAGAGCTTGTTTGTTTAAATTCAGGTAAGGAAGAGAAACAAGAAGATCCTGGAGTAGGCAGTATCTGGCAGAGGGAAGGACTCTGGGTGGGTTTCAGGATAAAATGTAGGTATTTCTTCTGTCCTCTTGCTGACAAGGACTTCTGCCCTGTTTGACACAGGGGACTTGTAAGCACTGCATTTTTTACAAGCCCTGGTTTACTTTCTTCAAAAATTATGTCACTGCTGTATTGGTCTAAGGCTGTACAGTGATGCTGCAGAGGCAAGAGTGTTTCAGTCAGCAGAACCAGAAGCTTCACCCTT